TTAAATTCTTTTCGTTTCACTATTTGAACAAATCTGAATTATCATTGAAATTTACCTGCCGTTGATTAATTATTCGTAGAAGAACCATTCTTTGGTTAAAAATGATTTCCAAAGGACCTGTCCCATTTAGAATGACGAAAATTGCAAAATATTAAAGAACCATTAATGATGACTAATTCAGTAACGCATAAGTAGGAAATTGTCCCAATGAAAGAGATAATGAAAGCTTTTAGGCGATGCATAACATCTCAATTGCATTAAAGTAATTAGTCTTTAGCAAGATCAAAATGATGTGTTTTATGTAGGAAAAGGAAAAAAAAAACGGAGCATTAAATGGTATGTAATTACTTCCAAAAAGGTTAATTAATAAAATTAATAACTAAAGAAAACAAATAAATTTGTTAATAACAAGGTATAAATGAGGAGAAATATGAATGGATGAATGAATAGAAAATACGAAAGAATATTGTTAGCAAGAGGACCTAAAATGATACATCTATTGACAAGATTGACAAAGTTCAACTTGTCTAATGTTCAGCAAAGTAAGCAATCATAAATATTTGCATAATTTACAAAAAAGAAAAAAAATGTTTTTCGAAAAATAGCATAATGCTAAATGCTATGCAAAGGTAAGCAATATAATAAAGTAAAAGTATGCGGAAAGAAATAGCATGGATCGGATCATGAGTAATCATATTGCTTCAAAAGTATTTTTATCCACTGATATCAATTGATCGAGTAGAATTTCAATTTTGATATCATCAATGAATCACATGCCAATCACTACCACTAACAATTTCCCTTTATTTTCTTTTATTTCAAAACAAATTTTCTTCATTTAGTAGCTTTTTTGTTACTTTCACCGCTTAAAAATACAAGAAATAAATTTCGGTTTTCGTCCTGTCAATATTTTAGTACAATTGTCATTAAACTAATGAACTAATTATTCCTGATGAAACGATCGTTTGATGATAATTAATAAAATCGCTGAAAGATGTCATTCATGGACAATTCATTCCTTTTGCTTATATTTGTCACAGTGTTAGTTAAGAAGAAGAAAAGAAAAGGACAATAACGAATAAATGTTCAAATGATATTTGCTGTCGTCGTTTAATCAAATGAATAGAATTGCATTAACATTTTTGGACTAAAATATAGGGAACGATCAATAAAGGAAATAAAGACACACTTCCTGGAGCCAAGAATTAGCCAATTATGGATGACACATCAGAAAATTTATTTTCAAGTTGTTGTAAGAAACTTTCTTATTGTCTGTTGAATTTTACACTTTGACAACTTTTATCACTCTTCCTTGTCACATAATATAATATTCCCTCAAGTATTGGCAGTTTTACAACTGGAATATGTAACTTATTTACGATCAAAAAAAGGCTTAGATTGAATTAAACTTTAGTTTTAAAAGTTTGAAACTGAATGTATCATCATTAAAAATATCAATGGAAAAACCTGAATACAATGATAAAGAATTATCAAGAGAAACATTAATCAAAGGATTCTTAAAGTTTATTCAATTTGACAAAATCTGCCAAATAAAGCATTTTATCTTTGTCGTCGTTTCTAAATTCCAATGTTATAGATGTAAACCAACTATTGATATTATTCATCGATCAGCAATTAGTTCGATATCAGTCGATCATTTTGAACAGGACGTTGATA